GAACCCAAATCGGAGAAATGTGTCTTCATAGGATATCCAAAGGAAACTATTGGATACACCTTCTATCATAGATCCGAAGGCAAGACTTTTGTTGCTAAATTCGGAAACTTTCTTGAGAAGGAGTTTCTCTCGAAAGAAGTGAGTGGGAGGAAAGTAGAACTTGACGAGGTAACTGTACCTGCTCCCTTGTTGGAAAATAGTACATCACAGAAAACTGTTTCTGCGACACCTACACCAATAAGTGAGGAAGTTAATAATAATGATCATGAAACTTCAGAACAAGATACTACTGAACCTCGTAGATCAACCAGAGTAAGATCCGCACCAGAGTAGTACGGTAATTCAGTTCTGGAAGTCATGCTACTAGATCATGATGAACCTACGAACTATGAAGAAGCGATGGTGAGCCCAGATTCCGCAAAGTGGCTTGAAGCCATGAAATCTGAGATGAGATCCATGTATGAGAACAAAGTATGGACTTTGGTTGACTTGCCCGATGATCGGCAAGCAATTGAGAATAAATGGATCTTCAAGAAAAAGACTGACGCTGACGGTAATGTTACTGTCTATAAAGCTCGACTTGTCGCAAAAGATTTTCGACAAGTTCAAGGGGTTGACTACGATGAGACCTTCTCACCCCTAGCGATGCTTAAGTCTGTCCGAATCATGTTAGCAATTGCCGTATTTTATAATTATGAAATTTGGCAGATGGATGTCAAAACTGCATTCCTGAATGGATTTCTAGAAGAAGAGTTGTATATGAAGCAACCAGAAGGTTTTGTTGATCCAAAGGGAGCTAACAAAGTGTGCAAACTCCAGCGATCCATTTATGGACTGGTGCAAGCCACTCGGAGTTGGAATAAACGCTTTGATAGTGTGATTAAAGCATTTGGGTTTATACAGACTTTCAGAGAAGCCTGTATTTACAAGAAAGTGAGTGGGAGCTCTGTAGCATTTCTGATATTATATGTGGATGACATATTATTGATTGGAAATGATATAGAATTTCTGGATAGCATAAAGGGATACTTGAATAAGAGTTTTTCAATGAAAGACCTCGGTGAAGCTGCTTACATATTAGGCATAAAGATCTATAGAGATAGATCAAGACGCTTAATTGGACTTTCACAAAGCACATACCTTGACAAGATTTTGAAAAAGTTCAAAATGGATCAAGCAAAGAAAGGGTTCTTGCCTGTGTTACAAGGTGTGAAGTTGAGTCAGACTCAATGCCCGACCACTGCAGAAGATAGAGAGAAAATGAAAGATGTTCCCTATGCTTCAGCCATAGGCTCTATCATGTATGCAATGCTGTGTACCAGACCTGATGTGTGCCTTGCTATAAGTTTAGCAATGAGGTACCAAAGTAATCCAGGAGTGGATCACTGGACAGCGGTCAAGAACATCCTGAAATACCTGAAAAGGACTAAGGATATGTTTCTCGTATATGGAGGTGACAAAGAGCTCACCGTAAAAGGTTACGTTGATGCAAGCTTTGACACTGATCCAGACGATTCTAAATCGCAAACCGGATACGTGTTTACATTGAACGGTGGAGCTGTCAGTTGGTGCAGTTCTAAACAAAGCGTCGTAGCGGGATCTACATGTGAAGCAGAGTACATAGCTGCTTCGGAAGCAGCAAACAAAGGAGTCTGGATGAAGGAGTTCATATCCGATCTAGGTGTCATACCTAGTGCATCGGGTCCAATGAAAATCTTTTGTGACAATACTGGTGCAATTGCCTTGGCAAAGGAATCCAGGTTTCACAAAAGGACCAAGCACATCAAGAGACACTTCAACTCCATCCGCGATCTAGTCCAGGTGGGAGACATAGAGATTTGCAAGATACATACGGATCTGAATGTTGCAGACCCGTTGACTAAGCCTTTTCCACGAGCAAAACATGATCAGCACCAAGGCTCCATGTTAGAATCATTACAGTGTAATCTAGATTATTGACTCTAGTGCAAGTGGGAGACTGAAGGAAATATGCCCTAGAGGCAGTAATAAAGTTATTATTTATTTCCTTATAATCATGATAAATGTTTATTATTCATGCTAGAATTGTATTAACCGGAAACTAATACATGTGTGAATAAATAGACAAACAAAGTGTCACTAGTACGCCTCTACTTGACTAGCTCGTTAATCAAAGATGGTTATATTTCCTAACCATGAACAATGAGTTGTTATTTGATTAACGAGGTCACATCATTAGTTGAATGATCTGATTGACATGACCCATTCCATTAGCTTAGCACCCGATCGTTTAGTATGTTGCTATTGCTTTCTTCATGACTTATACATGTTCCTATAACTATGAGATTATGCAACTCCCGTTTACCGGAGGAACACTTTGGGTACTACCAAACGTCACAACGTAACTGGGTGATTATAAAGGAGTACTACAGGTGTCTCCAATGGTACATGCTGGGTTGGCGTATTTCGAGATTAGGTTTTATCACTCCGATTGTCGGAGAGGTATCTCTGGGCCCTCTCGGTAATGCACATCACATAAGCCTTGCAAGCATTACAACTAATATGGTAGTTGTGAGATGATGTATTACGGAACGAGTAAAGAGACTTGCCGGTAACGAGATTAAACTAGGTATTGGATACCGACGATCGAATCTCGGGCAAGTAACATACCAATGACAAAGGGAACAACGTATGTTGTTATGCGGTCTGACCGATAAAGATCTTCGTAGAATATGTAGGAGCCAATATGGGCATCCAGGTCCCGCTATTGGTTATTGACCGGAGACGTGTCTCGGTCATGTCTACATTGTTCTAGAACCGTAGGGTCCGCACGCTTAACGTTACGATGACAGTTATTATGAGTTTATGCATTTTGATGTACCGAAGGTTGTTCGGAGTCCCGGATGTGATCACGGACATGACGAGGAGTCTCAAAATAGTCGAGACATAAAGATTGATATATTGGAAGTCTATGTTTGGACATCGAAAGTGTTCTGGGTGAAATCAGGATTTTACCGGATTACCGGGAGGTTACCGGAACCCCCAGGAGTCATATGAGCCTTATTGGGCCTTAGTGGAAAGGTGAAAGGGCTGCCCATAAGGGCTGCGCGCCTCCCCCCTCCCCTAGTCCTATTAGGACTAGGAGAGGTGGCCGGCCACCCCTCTCCCTCTTTCCCCCTTGGGAATCCTAGTTGGAATAGGATTGGGGGGGAGTCCTACTCCCGGTAGGAGTAGGACTCCTCCTGCGCCCTCCTCCTGGCCGGCGCACCTCTCCCCCTTGGCTCCTTTATATACGGAGGCAGGGGGCACCTCTAGACACACAAGTTGATCATTGAGATCATTCCTTAGCCGTGTGCGGTGCCCCCTGCCACCATATTCCACCTCGATCATATCGTTGTAGTGCTTAGGCGAAGCCCTGCGCCGGTAATACATCAAGATCGTCACCACGCTGTCGTGCTGACAGAACTCCTCCCCGAAGCTTTGCTGGATCGGAGCCCGGGGATCGTCATCGAGCTGTACGTGTGCTAAGAACTCGGAGGTGCCGGAGTAACGGTGCTTGGATCGGTTGGATCGGGAAGAAGACGTACGACTACTTCCTCTACGTTGTGTCAACGCTTCCGTTGCGATCTACAAGGGTACGTAGATCATACTCTCCCCTCGTTGCTATGCATCACCATGATCTTGCGTGTGCGTAGGAAAATTTTGAAATTACTACGTTCCCCAACAGCAGCGCGCCCAACGCGCCGACCCATTTAATGACGGCGCGCGCTTTAGATCATGCCAGCGGCCATGTCGTCGCCCTGGTTTTGACGCTTCAGCGCGCAAGAAAGGTTCGCGCACGCGGGGGGAAATTGGCCTAGCCGCGCTGGTTTTGGCGCTCCAGCGTGCGGGAAAGGTTCGTGCGCGCGCCGCGGCCGGCGCTCGTTATAAGAAGGCACTCCCTCCACACTCTGTCCAACGCCACTCGTCTCGCCCCCTTTCACTAGCCTCGCCGCCTCTGCGCCACCATGTCGATTCACCGCCTGGGCGCTTCAGATTTTCGCGGAGTCCGCGAGCGCCGCTCCGATGCCTTCTCCTCCGAGATCTGGTTTGGTGAGAAAGGCCTCATCCCCGACACCTTCGACAGCGCAGAGGAGGCGGCCCACGCGCACGACGCGGCGGCCTGGTGCCTCTTGAGGCCTCGTCAGGAGATAAATTTTCCGACGTGTCGAACCAGCGGGCGCAGGATCTTGCGCCTCTCCCGCGGCTTTTCACCGGCGAAGACCGTCGTGTTCATCGGAGGCGGCAGCGTCGTCTTGTCATCGTCGAGATGGACGTGGAAGCCATGGTGGTGTGGCGCGATTCCCGCAGGACATCGTCGATGAGCGTCAGTTCTACAAACAAAGAAGGACGAAGAGGGAAGCGAGGAGGACGGAGCGAGCCGTCTATCGGGAGGACAAGCGTTCGCGGAAGCAGACCGTTCAATTGAAACTGAAGCTACGAGAAATGTCAGGGTGGGACTTCGAGGACGAGCAGTATGCTGACGCCTATATCCAAACGTCGGAGGAGGACATTACCGAGTCGGAATTAGAAAACGACGAGCGTTTGGTTTTTTTTATCTGTGTACGCTAGAAATATCTATGTATCCTTTTCTATCGGAAAAAATGGTCGGCGACGTCGGCGATGAGGCAGGCAGGCGAGAGTGTGCTGTTGAATGTGGAGAGGACAATGTGCCACTGACCAGCGGGCCCGAAGAGGAAAGAGGACGAGCGCACGTCCGCGCGGACGTAATTCCAGCTCAAAAATAAGCTAGAAATGGGTCGGCGGACGAACAAAAATGGACGCGCGTCTATTTGGGTCGGCGCGTTGGACCGACTTTTGTGCCCGCGCGGACCCAAACGAAGGGCGGCGAACGAAATGGATCGCCCATTGAAGTTGCTCTAACGGCCCAATCACTTCTCTCCTCCATCCATAAAGAGAGACTTCATTGCTCCATCCATGGCCGACACCGCCTGACCTCTTCCTCCTCGCGACCGGCGACCATGGCGTCCAACACCGTCAAGCTCATCGGCAAGTGCTCTGCTCCTCTCACCTTTACCCCTAATAAAAGAAGTCACTAAAACCACCCTTTGCTCTCCCTACATCTTTTCTCTGATTCAGCGATTTGCTGCTCTTACCCAAACTGACTGCTCACTCTCTCCTCTGATCTTCTACCCCTCTCCGGCTCGGCCACCAGACATCGCAGTGAACTTCACTGGTAGGACCTTCTCCCTCCACCCGTAACACCTTAAAGCTGACATAATTTTTGTTCTTGGTGAGTTACTGATTCACCTTTTGTGTCATGCTGCTGAGAAGATGGCATGTTTAAGGGCATCTACCACGGCAAGCAGTGCCACTCTGCCGACCTCCCCAGCGTCCTCGCGCGAGCCTGGGCTGCCGGCGTCGACCGCATCATTGTATGAATACCTGTCTGCTGTGCCTCCTGTTTGTTCTGCTCCGGTTGATCTGTCTCAATTTCGTATGCTATAAGCACAATTCATCATTTGGTCCTACATCAGGTCACCGGAGGGTCTCTGAAGGAGTCTAGGGAAGCGCTTGAGATCGCCGAGACCGATGGTATGCCCGGCTATTATGATGCTGTATATTGGCTGACTGGTGCATGCACAGTGTTTGATGGAATGCGCCTGAGGAATTTCTTATTTGTGCGTGTGTATGCAATGCAGGGAGGCTATTTTGCACCGTGGGAGTCCACCCAACGAGATGCGGGGTAATATTGGAATATATTTCTTGCTTTGGTCGTGACTGATTTCAGAAAAAGGCTTTTGCTCCGCTTTATATATAAAGCACATATCACCAAGCACCCAGTACAAATATATGCCACCGCAACACACGCACACACCCAGGGCAAGATACATAGACGTTGAGCGAAGCAACACCATCTCTAGCACTACCAGCACGAGGAGATGAAGCTACATATGACGAACCATGTGCTCCAAGGCGGCGCCTTCAAGAAGGGTACGACACCGGAGCGCCGCCACCGCCCAATCCAAAGATCAGAGTTTCCCCTGGAGCCGCATGACGGGCAATGAGACGCCTTCAAGAAGGGAACGATCTACACTGCCACCGGTCCGTCGGAAGATAGAACAGGTTTTCACCTCGGCCAACACTCACCGCCACCGAACGCCACACCCCGGCAACCACGCCGCCCACACGGCCATGGTGACCGGGCAACACCAAGGCACGGGCTCCGCCCAAGAGCACCGTGCTACCACCACCAGGGCCGCCGCCCCGGCATCCAAGACCTTGACACCATCTCACCCGAGACCCACCGCAACCCCAACGAAAGAGACGAGTGGAAAGGTCCCACCTTTCGCACCCCTGGGCGACCCCAGCGTCGAGGCCCAATAGGCCGGCGAGAACTGGCATCCACCGACCCGTCCTGCTGCCCCGAGCGCGAGACGAGCTCGGTCCTGCAGCACCGAGAGGGGGACGAGGTCAGTCCTGCTGCACCGTGCGCGAGACGAGCTCGGTCCTGCAGCACCGGGCGCGAGACGAGCGGTGGACCGCAGCTGGAAGAGGACCAGCCCTCTGATGAGAGTAGCGGCCGGGCGACGAGGAGATGGAGCGAAGGTCGAGACGGTCCGCACGCAGACGAGCCGACGCCGGAGAAGCCGGCCGCTGTCGCGGGCAGAACCGTCGAGCCACCGTGAAGCCGCCACGACACCAAGAGGCCATCCGGTGGACCTCCCCACGCCGCCGCCCACGGCCAGAGCAGCGGCCACGCCCCGCCGCTGCCCAACCCACGTCGCCCTGCGAACTCCAAGCGCCAGATCCGCCAGGCACGCACCGCCGGAACCACGAGCCGTCGGCCGACCCCCAAAGCGTTGCCAAACGCGGCCCGCGCCCCCGCAAGGTCAGCTTTGGCTGGGGCGCCGGCAGCCAACCCTGACCCCCGGCCCACACCACCACCTCCCCCTGGAGCGGAAGAAGAGGAGAGGAAGGCCCAGGCCGCCGCTGCTGCGCCGCCACCTCCGCCAGCCGGCTGCCACGGCGGAGGAAGCCGCCCGCAGCCCACACCGCCCGCAGCCCACCCCTACCGGATCTGGATCGAGCCGCTGCCGTCACCGCACCAGCCGAGCACCACCGAGGTGCAGCCCATCACGCCACCCGCACACCCGCGCGCCATCTCCTGCGCCGATGAGGGGCCGCGCCGTGGCGCCCCGCGAGAACGCCGCGACCAGATCCGGGTCGGCCGGCCCGCGCCAGCCCTCCCGCATGAGGCGATGAAGACGCCCCGCCGGCGGCGGCGGGAGGAGGAGGAGGAGAAGAGAGGTCGTGGGGCGGCCGGCGGCTAGGGTTCCTCCCCTGCCGCCCGCGGGAGCGCCAGAGGAGGAGGAGTCGGGGGGAAGCTGGGCTTCGTCTCGTGACTGATTTTGGGATGGATATGTGCATTTGTGCTTTGGTTGCCTACATTTACTACTTTTTGGATGGTTTAGGAGTTTGAGGAGAGTGGAGACCCGGAAGGGCATTTTCAGGCTCTCTTGGCTTTGGCAAAGGAGGGCATCGAGAAGGGCAAGGTGTGTATATGGATCATATGGTTGCTTGTTTGAGAATTTACACAGTGCTTGAACTGCACAACAAAAGGACAGGCATATGCTCTAGTGATGAACTTTCTCGTAATCTTTGCTTACAAACAATAGGACCCTGAGAATCTTGTCAATTAGGAAAGGAGCCCAACTCATTCATTGCTTACTGAAATATGGAGCATCATTAAGTATCCTTATGTGCTGATGTTCCTCTGTGGCAACCATTGTATGATGATATACCAATATGGTTAACAAGCTCACACAATCTGATAATCTTCCGTTGCAAAGGAAATCAATCTAATTCCATGAAGATATGATCTTTTGCGCAATAAGAATTCAGTAGTTATTCTTTGCAAAAGAAAAAGAAATTCAGTAGTTACCATGCCCTTTTCTGCTCTTTGGACACTATACTTGCAAACTCTAAGTGGATTCAGTTTCTGCAGGTTGTGGCAGTTGGCGAGTGTGGTTTGGATTATGACAGACTTCAGTTCTGTCCTTCAGATATACAGAAGAAGTATGGTCCTGCACAATCGCAAAGACAACCTGACAATTACTCGGCATTTTCTGAATGATTTTAAATTTTAGGTACTTTGAGAAACAATTCGAATTGGCTAAAGCAGTAAAACTACCGATGTTTCTTCACATGCGTGCTGCTGGTGGAGATTTCTCTGAAATCGTATCAAAAAATCTGTACAGGTAATGTTTATTCTGTAGACCACAATGACAAAACACAAAGAAAACAGTCGATGGATTATTATGTTTTAGTTGTATCCCTTCGTGAATTAAATTATACATGGTTATTTCCTATATTTATTTCTGTGAACCACATTTCTGTTTGGTAGGTTTCCAGGTGGGGTTACACATTCCTTCACTGGTACTGCAGAAGAACGTGACAAGCTTCTTTCTATCGAGAATATGTTTATAGGTCATTTCCCTCCCTTGGTCTCACAAACCTGCATGTGAAGCAACATAATAACTGTAAAACTTCAGAACCACAAACATTCTTTCATTAGTGGCAAAAGCTATTTAGATTGGTTTAATGGCTTTTCTGATGGAAAGCCTCCATCTGGGCAATGTCACTTGAAGTTAAATTAGCATTTGATATTCTGTATTTTATTGTAATAACTCTATGATGCCTTGTAGTTTGTAAATAATAACTCTTCATGCACCACTGCAGGTATTAATGGCTGCTCTTTGAAGACTAAAGAAAATCTTGAGATTGTAGGAGGTATTCCTGCAGAGAGGATGATGATAGAGACAGATTCTCCTTATTGTGACATAAAAAATACTCATGCTGGAATCCAGTTTGTAAAATCGATCTGGCCATCCAAGAAAAAAGAGAAGTATGAACCTGGTTTAACAGTTAAGGGTCGCAATGAGCCTTGTTTAGTAAGGTATGTGGAAGCAGTTGGGCATAAAATTCTTGCTGAAGCAAATGTTTGGACTGATCTCCAAGTTTCAACTTTGTATGTCAAGTTTGCTTGCACCTGGAATGATTATTTTGCTTTTGCTTCACCAAATACTGCATTGGTTTTCTGAAGTAGATCAATCCTTATGCCATTTCTGTTCGAAACAATAAACCACTCCCTCTGTAACTTTTTATTAGACATTTTTAGAGTCCATGACAGTGTCAAAAAATGTCTTATATTAAGTTACAGAGGGAGTAGTAAATTAGATGTGTGCTTGAAATGTTGTCTTTATCAAATGAAGTTCTGACCACTTGCAATTAAAGTTTTCTGCCATGCAGCAAATTGTTTGTTTAGCCTTGCGCCTTGATGTAGAACCAAACTATTCTTTGTTGCTCTGCTCTTTTACTAGGATGTTTGAAGCATTTTATTACATCTCATTATCATGATCTGTAATCAACTGTTCGTGGACCGGAAATTGACTTCTCGTATTCTTTTGCTGTGCTAAATATTTGCACGTGACTCTTACCTCCAGATTTTTTTTGACAAAAATAGATATTTCTCCATTACAGGCAAGTCCTTGAGGTAGTGGCTGGATGCAAAGGTATTGCTGATATAGAAGGCTTAAGTAAAACTCTGTACCACAACACATGCAGGTGAGCCGTCACTAACTAGGAAACATCATACCTTCCCTCTAGACACTCTAATATGGCTAGGTTTTCTTATGTTACGCAGGGCTTTGCTACTAACGTTATCTCCAGTTTTTAGATGCTATCATTAAGTGATCTTTCTACCCTGCAGGCTCTTCTTCCCTCATGACATGGATGCTTCTGCAGATGCACAGCTTGAGAGTGGTGGTGTTACTGCAGAACAGAATAGCTGATAATGCAGAGTGAATTGTTTTGAAATATTTCATTTTTGCCTGCTCTTCGGTTTTCTGGTGTCTATGAAATATTTATGGTGTCCTAAAATTCTTCTAAATTTACAAGCTTCAATTTGAAAATGGCATCGTATGTTCGTGCCTTAGAGATTAAAATACAGATAGGATTATTTTCACTATATATATATATATATATATATATATATATATATATATATATATATATATATATATATAGGGTCGCGTTATTCGTCATCCTGGGTGAGGAATAGTTATTCTTCACCCTTCTTTATTTTAACATCAATGCACCGTATTTTTATGTTTCGTAAATTTTGTCTTATTTCATACATAAAAAGAGAATGTAAGAAAATATGTACTCGCCGTAAAAAATAGTTTATGTTATGTAAAATTACGAATGTAAAAACATAGTGTAAAACATACATAAAATGTGATTTTTCTGGTCTTATAACCTATATTTTTATTTTTTTTATAACCAAATTTTACATATTGAATCAATCTACACGTAACTATTTATATTCTAAACGTAATTTATTTAGAAAGCGATCGTAAAATTATCTCGGGTGAAGAATAACTTATTCTACATCCTGGGAGGTGAATAGTAACACTATATATATGTATATATATATATATATGTATATATACATACATACATACATATATATATATATATATATATATATATATAGATATATATATATATATATATATATAGGGATTGACTATTCTTCACTCCCTCTATTTTGCCATAAATGCACCGTAATTTTACGTTTCGTAAGTTTTGTCTTATTTCAAACGTAAAAAGAGACAGTAAGAAAATATATAATCGTCATAAAAAATATTTTATGTTATGTAAATTACAAACGTAAAAACATAGTGTAAAATATACATAAACTGTAAATTTTCTTATTTTATGACCTATATTTTTATTTTTTATGCCAAATTTTACGTAGTGAATCAATATGAATGTAACTATTTGAAATATAAACGTAATTTAATTATGAAATGATCGTAAAATTACGTCGGGTGAAGAATAACTTATTCTGCACCCTGGATGATGAATAGTAACTTTCGACGTAATCTTACGATCATTTCATAATTAAATTACGTTTCGAATTCAAATAGTTACATTCCTATTAATTCACTACGTAAAATTTGACATAAGAAAATAAAAATATAGGTCATAAGACAAGAAAATTTGCAGTTTATGTGTATTTTAGACTGTTTTTATGTTTGTAATTTTATATAACATAAAATATTTTTTACGACGATTATATATTTTCTTATGGTATCTTTTTGCGTCAGAAATAAGACAAAACTTATGAAATATAAAATTACGATGCATTGATGATAAAATAGAGAGGTATGAAGAATAACTATTCCTCACGCAGGGTGACGAATAGCACGATATATATATACTCAAATCGCTTTTTGTGTGGAAACAAGTCCAGGGAGAAAGGAGCTAAGAGCCTAAAAGCCAAACTGACAGTAGCGAACAACCTGGGTATCATTCTAATTTATTTCATGAAAGGGCAGCACAACCACTTAGTCAATCCAGTACTCTATATTATATACAATATACAAAACATCTCTACTGAATTGAACATGTTTCCATGAGGCACTTTTGGATCCAGATATTTCTGCAACATATGTATATCACAAGAGTCTAATAATCTAGTGTCCGTGGCTGAAATCCCACTTCTGCGTCAAAACTTTTGCTCAGACCAGTACATCTTGAATTGGAACGGCAGAATTTTTGAACCGGTGCACCAAGCTTACAACTCAATCATCTCGACCTGTCTATTAGTAGTTACTAATAGCTGGCAGTTGTCTGTAAGTTGCTCTTTTCCATCTCACCTTCAAATTGTCCTGAAGTAGTAGTACTGTTTTTGTCGACCTCTGGCTCAGAACCACCTGAGGCAGTTTGTTCTTGCTGGGACTGCACTGTGCTAGGAGTTGATCCAGCTGGAGGGTTCTGTGCCGCCAGACTAAGTCGGAGTGGCCTCCCATCCAGTTCCTGCATTCAGTAAACATGTCAACCAACCACTGTTTTCACTAGTGAATCCATGTCAAATTAACATGTTGGTGAGATTTTTTTTTTAGAAAAGGAGGATGACTCCCGGCCTCTGCATCTGGGCGATGCATACGACCACTTTATTAATTATTCTCATAAGACCTTACAAAATAATACCACAGTAAGACTAAAGCCACCGTCTAAGCAACGAACTGTCGCTACACCTATCCAGTTGATGAAGGGGCCCAGATAGCCTGGGCCTAATACCAAATAGACATCGCAGCCAAACCTAACATTTAAGACCCGAGGACCCATCTAGGACGCCTGCCGGGCATGGTTCTCGCCGGTCCGGCGTGCTCTTACAGGCCGCCGCCGCCAACTGCCATCGCTCCATCTTCAGAACTGTACTGATGCATCAACCTTACTCGGTCTAGCTATCGTCGATGCCACCACGACGCCCAACGGCACCTCCTCCCTACGCGCAAACAACTGTGCACGTCGCGGTCGCCACTAATACACCTCAGCACCATGCTGCCAAGTACCACCAGCCGACATAACTTGAAGTCTTTGGAAGATATGTCGTGCGTAGCACCTGCCGACCAGACATGACAAAGCGTAGCATCTGTCGGCCAGGCATGACTTAACATCTCCACCGAACCTCCGTGCAAGACGAAGTCGCTCCACCTTCTGCCTCTGACTTCCAGCGCTGCTCCACAAACGATGCTCACAAGAGAGAAACGACACCGCAATGCCGCCATCGTCCGACCTGGAACTCCAGATCCTAGGGTTTCCCCAGAGCAGCACGAGTGGGTCAACAATAGTTACACGACGATGCCTCCATCAAGGTAACGGCGTAGAACGCCGCCATCGCCTGCCAACGGCTCGGTTTTCACCGGCAACCATGTCTCCCCAACTCGCAGCCGGGACTAGATGATGGATCTCGAGATCCGATCACCAAGCCTCTGGCCGGCCATCTCTGACGAAGAAGATGACCACCATCATTGGCCAGCGAGACGGCGCGAGATGAAGTAGGGCGCTGCTAGCGTGCGTCCTGGCCAGCACTACCGACGCTCGGCCCGTCTCGGACCACGCCTCATGGAAGCGCTTCCACGACGAGGATGCAGACCGGAAGCCCAGATCCGGCCCACCCGCGCGCCGCCACGTGGCCACCACCAAGCGTCGTTCAGCGGCAGCCCCGCCGCCGTGAGGGACGCCGCCCCACGGGCAGCAGGTGCCAGCCACCGGCGGAACACCGCCGCGCGCCACCGGTTGCCGCGAGATCTGCGCGAGAACGACAAGGACGCCCCGCCGCCACCTTCCCCGGGGACCACGCGGGCTTCACCGGTGTCCCCTCCGGCGGAGGCGAAGCTGGGGAGGGACGGCTGGCGGCGCGGTTAGGGTTTCCCCGTGCGCCAGAGGCGACCCACGGGGGACGTGACGCGCAGGGGCTTCGTTAGAGATGACCGTTGGTGAGATCTTAGGGTACCCATTGGCCATTGTGCATAACTTATGATTATATACATGATTACTGATCTATCCATGCATAGAGTACAAAGATAAGTTATACTTTGGTCAGTTCATGTTATCAGTATTGACTCATATTTTTCTCTACGAAATACTTAACAACTACTCCCTCCGTTCCTAAATATTTGTCTTTTTAGAGATTTCAAATGGACTACCATATACGGATGTATATAGACATATTTTAGAGTGTAGGTTCACTCATTTTGCTCCGTATGTAGTTATTTGTTGAAATCTGTATAAAGACAAATATTTAGGAACGGAGGGAGTATAACAAGAAACACCTGGTAACCTTGTTCCTACATTTCATAGTTCAGTTTTCAAGTACTCGTTGTTCTTATCATGCATGGCTTGGTTCTACTTATGCTATTATTATACCATGGTAATCCAATGAAGTGATGTGGTGGGAATTTTTGCTCTAAGGTTGCAACAAAGACATACCACTCCGTCCATGGCCTGCAAGACAGCCTTTGCATCTTCTATTGTCTGAAAGGAGACGAAGCCAAACCCCCTGGAACGACCCGTGTCACGCTCGAAGATTACCCTGGCACCAACCAAGCCAGGCTGCCTCTCGAATGCCGTCTTGAGTGCATCAGCCCGCACACCCCACCCCAGGTTGCCGGCGTAAACCTTGTATGTCCCATCGTCAACAACACGCAAGCTAGTCCTTGCAACCGCTGCCGATGCGACTGCCCTCTCTCCTCCTCGCGGCACTTCCGGGAAATTCACCCTGACTGTCCTCCCTCCCAGCAGCTGCATTGACACGTATGCATTCATGACCAAGAACAGGAACACACTTTTGTGTGGAATGGAGAAGAATTGATGATCCAACTAGTGCGGAACTCACAGCTCCGTTGAACATCTGGACGGCCTTGGCAGCCTCCTCCGCGGTGGCCATGGTGACAAAGGCGAAGCCACGACTCCGGTCGGTGATTTTGTCATAGATTATCTGCAGGAGCGCAATCATGAAACCGTTACAGGAAGACCAGAGATAGGCACAAATTGAAGATAGGACTTGGATTGCATTTAGCTTGCGAGTACCTGGACATCGTCGACGCTGCCGGCCTCGGAGAATGCTGCAGTGAGCTCAGCGGCGGTGAAGGTGTAGGGCAGGTTGCCGACGTAGATTCGCCCGGGCTCTTGTCCAAGTGCCGGCCGGTTTCTCGGGGGATAGTAACCGCGGACTGCCTGGACCTCGGGTTCTGCCTCCTCCCCTTCTTCCTCCACGTACTCCTCTGGACCCTCCTCAGAGTAATGTTCTCCGTTAGAAGAGAACTCTTCGCCGGAAGCAGCGGAGGCGGAGGCGGGCAGGAGAATGGGGTGGCGACGGTGGGAGGAGGAGAATAGGCGGAGCCCGACGCAGTGCCGCTGGAAGTTGTTGAGGTTGAAGTGAGAAGGAGGGAGTGGGATGGCGGCGGCAGTGGCGGTGGGGTGAAGGAAAGAGCGGAAGGCGGCGACGGCGGTGGCCATGGCCGTGGAGGAGCGAGGAGCTTGGTGCTGTGCTGTGTCAGTGGGTTCGGTCGCTCTTGTGGGTAATTTCCTTATCCCCTACTCCTCTTTTTCCTTGAAAGGGCTTATCCCCTACTCCTAGTCCTACCTATTGGGCCGGACTTAAACGGGCCGATACTTATTGGCGGGGCTCCGGCCCTCTTGAGAAACGCGAGAGCACGAAGACACCGGCCCACTAAAGACCCCCTCTCCGTGTCCGAGGACAAGTCTTCTCACCAGCGGCGGCGGCGGCGGCACCGTCACCGTGACGAACTCTGCTTCTTCCTCCACAAAAACCAGAGCCCGCCGCCCCGAGACTCCCAAAACACTTCTTTTCCCAACCAAATCCACCAAATCTCGTGCGAGAAATTTTGCAATGGCGTCGGTAGCGTCCGAAGTCGATCCCGCCGTGGAGCCCCACATCGTCGTTGAGGAGTCGTCCAGCGCTGGAGGCAGCCGAGAGGAGGCGCCCCCAGAGGCTGCGGCGGTAGAAGCGGTGGTCGAGACAGAGCTGGCGGATGCGGAGGAAGAAGGGGAGTGCGGGTTCTGCCTGTACATGAAGGCCGGAGGTTGCAAAGGAGGCGTTCGTGTCGTGGGAGGAGTGCGTGCAGGCGGCGGAGAAGGAGGGCTCCGACATGGTCGAGCGCTGCTTCCAAGTCACCACCGACCTCAAGAAGTGCATGGACGCCCACGCCGACTACTACGCCCCCGTGCTCCAGGCTGAGCAGACCGTCTCCGACCAAGCCCAAGCCGCCATCGCTGCTGCCACCGCTGATACAAACAAGAACAACGGAGAGGAATCCGCTCCCTCCCCGGACACTGATTGGGTGGAGGTTGAGGAGGCTACTTCCTCGACGCCCGCCGAGGGGATGAAGAACGAAGAAGCAATTGTCGACAAGGCAGAGTCCTTGTCTTTGGGTAACTAATAACCGGGGAGGGTTAGATTTTTCAGCTCGTGATAACTTCTTATTCAGTATGAGTTATGATCTGATTGAGGCGCATGAGGCTAGTTTTTATCCCCTTGTGGGGAAATAAGGTTGTTCTTCCAATTAACTGTTGGACATGATACCGAATTTACTGAAGAATTTCTGGATGCTTTTATATGATACTAGGTTACATACTCATCATGTTTGTGCTTGATGCATTGACATTGTATCTCTAGAACTACTCCTGGTGAGCATGATGACGACAAGATACACAATTTGCTTTAGAATTTCTTGATGCTTTTCTGTTACATATGGGTTACATATTCACCACGTTTGTTGCTTGATGCATTGGCATTATAACCTTGGTCAAGCCCTGGTGACTGCGATGTCTAACAAATTGCATTGGATCTGCCATGCTGAGTAAATTTGAAATAGGTTTCAGCTGGTCCCTGTCATTGACATCAATATGGCTTGCCTTCATTTACCATTAAAATTTAGGATTTTAGACTTAAATCAACCTTTTCTTTGTGTCAAAAGATGGCAGATCTTTTAACTAGTCACTTGGCCAAAGCAATAGTAAGAAACTTGGAATGCTGTACGGCCAAACTCCCCAAAATAATCAGTTGCATGAACAAAACAGCAGTTATTTACATTGTCTTATGTGAGGGGTTTTTCGAATAATTGTTGGACGTGATAGTTTGCTGAATTTTTATCTGATGCCTTTATATGGTACACGTGTTGCTTGATGGATTGACATTGTATCTCTGGTTTATTTAAGTCATCATCATCATGGCAAGATATACTTGCAGTGACTGTCTTGTACATCGTCTCTGAGTTGTATGGGGAGTTTGAAATAAGTTCCAGTTTGATTGCTGTCATTGACATAAGTATATATCATTCGTTCCACTATTGTGAACGAACAAAACAGCGATTATTTAAACACTGCCGCTATGAATGTGATACTCAGAGTTATTTTATTTCTGATTTTTTTAGCTTTCTATTTACTAGTTTGACCTCAGAGTTACTGATCGCATGGGCTATAGGACTAATAATACAGGTGGCGAAAGAAAATGACCATCTCAGGAGTTGTCGGATTTCGGGTTCCGGCAGACCCTTGAGATTCGAACACTGGGGTACGCGCGAAGATTTTGCCTTCTACCTACCTGCACCCCACCACCACGCTAAGATTTAAGCTATGGAAAGAACAGCACAAGAGACACAGGGTTTATACTAGTTCGGGTCACCATTGTGGTGTAATACCCTACTCTAGTTTGTGGTGTGGTGGATTTCCTCTTGGGCTGATAATGACGAGCAATACAAGGAATAACAGCCTCGCGAGGGTCTGTTCTTGGCTGGGGGATGAACTGCTAGGAGGAGTTCAGTCACCCTTCTCTCTCTCTCTCTCTGCGTGATGCTACTCGATCCGATCCCAACTTGTTTCTGGATTGGCCGATCCTCTCTACCCTGGGGGTGGCTAGTCCTATTTATAGGCAAAAACCCTGGGCCTCTTCCCAAATATTAAGCGGGAAGGGCGCCAACAATTGGCCATTTTGAAGGGGAAACATCTGGTACACTTATCCTGACTAAAGTTGGTCCTCGTCTGCCAAAGGCTCGGGTGGTGACGCTGACTTGGGCTCCACAATGACTTCCTTCCTGCCGTTGGGCTGGTCTTGGTCTCGTTGCACCGAAACGGGTGCCTTTGCTTGATGCTCTCGCCTGCGCTTGCTCCCTTTGCACCAAAGAGAAAAGGAGGACACTGCGCGGGCTGGCGCCCGCCTGGCGCCCTTGGTCGTCATGGCTTGCGTCACGGGCACCTCGTGAGGTACCCCGCCTTGATCTCTCTGCCTCCTCGCAAGCCAGCCTGATGAGGCCGTGCCTGAGGAAGATCCGTGTCGTCCGCCCCGCGAGGCTTGGCCCCTCGCGAGGGTCTTGGGTCTGTGTTGATGAAGATGGGCCGCGCTGGGCCCCCTTTTGAGTCACGCCGCAGGCCGCAGGCAGGTAAGTCTGGGGACCCCCGTTTCCAGAGCCGGCAGTAGCCCCCGGGCCCAAGGCGCGCCCGGACTTGGCCGTGCAGGGAGGCGAAAGGACAAGGGCGAAGCGCCGTGGGCCCTAACAGCGTGCGGCCTTGGGCGTCGCGTGGCGGTTGGTTGGACGTGGGCGTCTCCACTTCCCCACGGCGCCTCGGCAACTGCACGGACTGGACAAGTCCCTGCATGCAAAAACGGGTCATGATTACCTGCGATCGTGGAGGCCGACGGTTGGCCCTCGCCGGCTATAAGTATGGAGCGGCTCGCGCCCTTCCAGTTCATCCCCCCTTGCTTCTCCTTCTTCTTCATGGCTCCGTCGAGGAGGTTCTCGGCCGCAGAGAAGGGGAAGGCTCGCCAGGTTGAGCCTGCCTCTCCCCCGCCCAAGCGTGGCCGAGGTCGCCCTCGCAAACATCCTGTGGCCACCACGGCAGCTCCTCGCGGCCATGGAGATGATTTCCAGCTCGGTAACGGGCGGACTGCTGCGGCCGGGGGGCGCGCTTCGGTCGTGCGTTCCCCTAGGCCGCGCTTTCGCGCTGCAGAGGTGCTGCCGGAGTTCATCGTGTGGTCGGCGGAGCCGACTAGCACCCGGCTTCAACTTCCTCGCTTCCTCCTCGGTGAGCTCCCGGCCGGTGCCCCGGGCGGCCTCTGGCTTAAGGCAGACGACTGCTGCAGCCGGGCCTCATGGGCTTCATTGGAGGTCTCCGCAGCCGGGAGCCTGGCCTTGACCCGCGGTTGGCAGACGTTCGCCCGCGCGCGTGGCCTGAGCCGTCGGTGCATCCTGCACTTCAAGTTTGACGGCGATGCCGCCCTCTACGTGAGGGTGTTTGGGGAAGATGGTCGCCGTGCAGGGTGCTACCCTGAGGACGACGACCACGGCCGGGACCCAGCCCCGGTGATGATGGAGAGGACAGCGCTCGCGTGATTGGCGGCGCTCAGGGTTCCCCAAGCTTCACCGGATCTTCTTCAGGCGGCGACTCTTCCAGCGGTGGCCGCGGTCAGCCTCCACGCCGTCGTACCTGCTTGGAAGGTGGTAGCGCGTCTGCCCGTCGTCGCGCCTCGATGAAGCGCGAGAGGGATTCTGCCTGAGCCCCGGAGGCAGCCCGAGTCCTCCTTGCAGGCCGGTGTGAGGCGAGCTGCGCCTGATTTGCTCTTTCTTTTCCTTTTTCCTGCGTAAAAAGACAGTAGCGTGGAGCCCCGCGGGGGCGTGTTTGGGTTATTGTTGTTAATCATCGCTTTGCTTCCGTTATCGTGCCTTTCGGCTACGTGCCCGCGCGTCGATAGTTCCCGGCCCCAGCCGTGGTGGGGGGCGACCGACCCAGGCCCTGTGCTCGTGTCGCGGTTCCCGTGGGGCACGGACTGGAGGGGTGCTCCTGTAATGGACCCAGGTCGCGAAACCTTTGAACGACTAGGACAGAAACACTCACGAGGGCGCTCGGCTGCCCCCCTCGGAGGCCTTGCATAAGAGAAATCGAGGTAGGAGAGTGAAAAGTCGAAGAACCACAAGTCAAAGACGGCAACAGCTTCAACAAAACTTCGAATGAGAATGAACAAACCAACTGCGAAAAGCAAATGAAAAAGCCGCGTCCGACACCTAATCTAGTCTTCGACGTCTTCTCACTAGCGCGGAGCTAAGTGCTACCACTGGGCGTGGGAGGGAGCCCCAGGGTCTGAGGCCGGCGCTCCTGAGACTCCGGGGCGTGTACAGCCCCAACTCATTATTATGTGAGAGTGTCACGGGCGGCGAGCTTCACAGGCGTTGGCCTTCTTCACAGGCTCCGGGCCTTTCTTGGGGGAAGTAAGCTTCACGGGCATTCACCCTCTTCACAGGCTCTGGGACTTTTCCAAAAAGGATAATCTTCACACGCATTCGCCTTCTTCACAGGCTCTGGGCCTTTTCCAAAACGCGACAACTTCACAGGCATTTGCCTTCTTCACAGGCTCTGGGCCTTTTTCAAAAAGGATAATCTTCACAGGCATTCGCCTTCTTCACAGGCTCTGGGACTTTTCCAAAACGCGACAGCTTCACAGG